CCGGGACCGTCCCACTCTGCTCCGCCCCCCCCAAGCCGGACACTGCCGGAGCCGCCGCCGCGATGTCCGCGCTCAGCGTCAGCCGGGTGAGGGGGCTCGAGAGGCTCGGAGGGGACGGAGAGGGCCGGGATCGTGCTGGGGCGGGGGCGCCGCTGCCAGCCCCGACCCCGGGGGTCTCGTCTCGGGGGCGGCCTCAGAGCTGCTGCCCCCGCTGCCCCCGGGATCAGTGCCCGCTGCCCCTCCCAGGGGTCGGTGCCCTCTGCTCCCCGAGGGCTGCCCGTGCCCTTGGTAACTGGGAACATTCCTTACGTTGGGATCCACCGGGCCCCCTCCCCGGGAACTGCGCTGGCGCTTCCAATTCTCCCCGTGATTCCTGAATTGGGGGAAAGGTGAAGGGCGCCGGTCCGGCCGTGTCCCTGCGCTGTCCCTCCGGTGCCGCTCCAGTGTCCCCATGGCCACCTGCCCCAAACGTCACGGTCACCGGGGGGGGTGGGGGTGGGGGGGGTGTCTGTCCGAGAGCGGCGGGGGCTGTGGATCTCATAAGGGATGCTTCGGGCACCGGGATTTAGGGTTCAGCCCCCAGCAGCTGGGCCAGAGAGGGTGGAAGGCACGAGGAGCTGGGGTTAGGCTCAGGGCACAGAGAGGTGACCGAGCGGGCAGGTGCTCGCCCAAATCCATACACGGAATCACAGACTGGTTTGGGTGGGAAGGGACCTTAGAGACCACTCAGTTCCACCAGTTCCTGCCTGTGGCAGGAACACCTTCTGCTAGACCAGATTGCTCCAAGCCCTGTCCAACCTGCCTGGGAACACTTGCAGAGATGGGGCACATAAACTGCTCCAGCATCTCATCCTCTGTGTGTGACCTTTGGTCCTTTGTCCCTCCTCTGTGCGCCTCCTGCTGTGACCCCCTGCCCAACCCTCACCTCCACCTGTCTGAGGGTGTTGGTGTTTCCAGAGTCACCTCAGCGATGTCCTTGACCTTGCACAGCCCTGGGACAGGAGAACCACGAGACCGAACGTCTCTAACACAAACTTGACAGCTCCTTTCCACAGGGTGTCACCTTCAGCCTTGTTAGGAATTCAGGGCTTTTCCTAGTTTTGTCTAAACTTTTTGGTGGACAAGCTGCATAGGACTGGATCATCCTTAAGGAAAAAAACTCAGCAAATCCCAAAGGAAAACAAAAATCAACCAAACAAAGCTCCCACAATTACAATTCCCTGGTTTTTTTTCTACCTCATCTTCCTGTCAGTTCTAGCTCAAACAAGGTGTAAAATGTTTGGGAGGGTTGAGGTTTGTCTGGAGGCTTCCTGGTATTATTTGTTTTGTTTTCCTACCCTGTGGCAGCAGTTTGGTAAGAAAGCTCAGGCAAGAAGGGAAAACCTGCATGAGAAGGGAAAATATCATTTTACAACATCTGTGGCTTGTGAAAACCCCACGGATAACACTTCACCTTCTGGAAGCCGCCCCCCCCATTCCCTGGGCTGTGCATCACTGACTCCGCAGCTCTGCCTTCCAGGCTCTATCCCAGCTCTTCCCACAGTTCTTCACCTTTTGGTTTTACAGGTATTTTCAGTATTCTCTGAAAATACCTTTTTTGCCTGTGTGACACCTGTCACAGCCCGTGTCCCTCACCAGCACCTCTGGGATGTGCCCCTCGCTCCAGCCCGGGACATTCCCTCATTCTCACACTCCTTTTCCTGCAGCAGCTGCTCCAGACCATGGTCTGGCACGGCTGGAGGTCGAGCTCCAGCAAACCTGCCCCAAATGTGCACCTGAGCAAACCTGGGGCCGGGTTCAGCTTCGGTGAGTGTGGCAGGGCTGGGGAGGGAGGGAACAGGGAGGGACAAATGGCAGCAAACGAGACAAAAAACCAGAGACCCCCCCAAAAAAAACCCACCCAAACAACCCCAAAAAAGCCAAACAATGGCACTGGAGTTCAGGAGGAATTTCAAGGTAGGTGTTTATTTGGAATAGATTTCTATTCTTTTTATAAAAACTATTTGAAATCTGAAATCCCTTTTCCTTTCCAGCTCAGGACTGCTGGGGGGACATGTGTGATATTTCTGAGGCCTTCTTTTACCTATCTTGAGCTCTTTTAATTGCCAAAGTTACCTCAGCATTGAACAATGATCCTGCATTGGCTTTTAAACTGTTAAAAGAACCCTGTGTAGCATCAGGGGAACGCAGTGGGTCCAGGGATGTGACACACAGATTCCTCCTCACTTGAGCTATTACAGCAAATTCTGTGGGGCAGCAGCAGATGTTTGATGGGTGTTTTTACTAAAACATTTTGTTACCTGGCACTTCCTGCTCTATTTTCAATAGTTTTTGAATAATTTGGTAAGTAACGGTGTTGTGGGCATTGCTCAGAGCTCAGGGGAGTTTCAAAGGGAAGGAGAAAATTTAACATCTTTGTGATTTTTTTACCTCTTATTTTCCACTAGAACTGACAGATGAACAGAAGGAATTCCAAGCCACTGCCCGGAAATTTGCTCTGGAGGAGATTATTCCTGTTGCTGCTCAGTATGACAAGACTGGTGAGGTAAATCCACCACACAGCAGGGGAAAAACAGACTTTTCTCTTAATTTGAATTTTGAAATGTTACCTGTGATAATCAATCGGGATTTTTCCTGTTCCAGTATCCTGTGCCACTCATCAAACGGGCCTGGGAGCTTGGGCTGATGAATTCCCACATCCCAGAGAGCTGTGGTGAGTGATGATCCATTTTAATCCCTAAAATAAACCAAAGAAAAGGCCTTGGAGGGGATTTATGTGTGAAATTGTGGCTTATGTGTAAAATTACCAGTTGCACCCTGGAGTAATCCCAAAAGGATCCATGGGCAGGTGGGCACACACAGGTGGGCCAGGTGGGTGTTAAACACTCGAAATTCAGGAATGGATTTGAAAAATCATCATGTTTCATGGTGAGAAGATCATCAGCACAGTCTGGCTGGGATACCCACAAATAACCTGGAAAAGGAGGTCACTGGTGAGACTGACTTAGTGGGTGCCTCCCAAGAGCTGTGGGAGAAGGTCATGGAACAGGGTGTTAAAATGAAATTCAAAATGGGAAAAGAGATGGACACAGGAAAGGGGAAAAGCGATCCAGACTTCCCAGGTAAAATGGTGTCTGCTGCACCAGTCCCTGCCTCTGAAAAAAGGGAGTTGGGGGTTCTAATAGGTAGTTTTGTGAGGCGTCAGAACCCTCATGGCCCTGCCTCTGCTTCCCAAGAGCTTCTGGGGGAATGCTTGGATGTAAAGCAGTGACAGATCCTAGTGGCACCTCCTGGCCATTTTGTGCCACTTGTTCCACCTTGAGCGCAAAACTCCCCCGGAACCGTAAAATGGGATTTTTAAGTCATCTGACTGAAATGAAAATAAAGAAATAAAATAACAAAAATATAAATGTGACAGCACATTCTTTCCCAAGGCCGTGGGGGGATGGCCAATGGAATGCAGTGCACACGGGGATGTTTGGATAATAAAAGCTTGTAAATCACTAATATTTTCCACTTGAGACTCCGTTGAGCTCTGACCTGTCCCCTACAGGGGGGTTGGGGCTGGGCTCCTTCGAGGCATGTTTGATCACGGAGGAGCTGGCCTACGGATGCACCGGGGTGCAGACAGCCATCGAGGCCAATTCCCTGGGGGTGAGTCCTGCTTATCCCCAAACTGCACTCTGGGACCCTCAAACTCATCTCTGCGTCCTTTAAACTGGGGTTTCAGCCCTCAGAACTGGGATCTAGCCCCCCCAACCAGGCTCAGTCCTCCAAACCGGGTTCGGGGCCCTTGAAGTGACGGATTAATGCTCTGAACATTCCCTTGCAGCAAATGCCGGTGATCATCGCTGGGAATGAGCAGCAGCAGAAGAAATACTTGGGAAGGATGACAGAGGAGCCCCTCATGTGTCTGAGTGTGACCAGGCAGTGACAATAATTAGTTAATTAATTAGCTGATGACAGAGGAGTCCCTGACGTGTGTGAGCGTGACCAGGGATCCATCAGTGCCCACAATTCCACAGTAATTTCGTGGCTGCCCAAACCCAGGTCGTTGATTCCTCGGGATGCTGGTGTTTGTTTCCTCCAGGCCTACTGTGTGACGGAGCCCGGCGCGGGCTCGGACGTGGCTGGGATCAAGACCTGGGTGGAGCGGAAGGGAGATGAGTATGTCATCAACGGGCAGAAGATGTGGATCACCAACGGCAGGAAGGCCAACTGGTGCGTTGGCTGGGATCGGTGTGGCTTCGCAGTCCCACTGGGCTCCGCTGGTGTTCCTGGAAGGGCCTGTCACCAACCTGAGTGCTCCGCTCTGTCACCAGCTCATGGGAACGAGGCACCAGCAGCCCCTGTGGGTGCCCAAACAGGGAATGGGGTGATGACGTCACAGCTCGGTGACGTCGTCACAGCTCGGTGACGTCATGGTTCGATGATGTCAAAGCCCCAGTCAGGAATGCAGCTTGATTTGGGCTGAAACCAAACCAAATCCGCTCTCCTTTCCCCTTGGGACAGGGAGTTCACTCACAGAGCGCTCAGGTTACCCAGCCCTGCCCTGGCTCTGGGGCAGGGATCAACTGCTTCTGACTCAGCCACGAACCTCTCCAGGGAAAACAGGAAAACTCTGGAACTGGGGAGTTACATTGAATTTCCTTAAGGGAAGGTATTTCCAAGGAGTCCCAGAGCCTGCCCAGCACAGCAGGGCAGCACAGACCCTTCCCCAGGGCTCAGCACCCCATCCCTCCCCACCCCAACACACCAAGGCTTTACAGTTCAAGAGGAAAAACTTTATACAAAAAGTATCTACAAAAGTTGGGGTTTCTCACTGTTTAACTCCTTGCTTGAAGCAGAACCATCACAGAGACTCTCCCAGCACATTCCTGACCCCCAGCAGTGGGATTTCAACAATTGCTAACAGAAAAAAATGCATTTACAACTGATACTGAGTAAAATTGAGATATTGGCAATTGAGAGGATAAGGCTTTGCACACAATACTGTATTCCCTGAGTGATAATCCTCACGGATGTTCTGGGAATTGGTTTATTTGTGGCTACTTGTGAGGCTGAGTGTGATATTGAGACACAACACATGGAGAAGGCAGAGAAGCTTTGCAGGTAGATCTGAGGGAATTTCATTAAGTCTTGATGTTTGCAGGAAGAGAGGCCCTGAGAACACTGACATTCCTTGCACTCCTCCCTCCTCGTTGGTTGGGGGTTTTTTTGGAAGGGCTCATTAAAAAGGTTTCCTGTATGGTACACAGATTAAAACTGGGGACACTTCTGCCCAGCAGTGTCTGATTGCTGAGGATGAGCCCAGCCCCTGTCTCTGTTCCCCCGCAGGTATTTCCTGCTCGCCCGCACTGACCCCAACCCCCGAGCCCCAGCCAGCAAAGCCTTCACGGGGTTTATCGTGGAGGCCAACAGCCCCGGCATCCAGATCGGCAGGAAGGTGAATTGCCAAGAGCTGATTAATGTTCAGGGGGGCGAAGGTGTCAGCAGCCAGGTGGAGAACTTCCCCCAAAACTTCACAGTTAGCTGGAATTTCGCCTGCTCCTGCCCCAGGAAGGTGCTGTGGAGTTCTCTTTGAGGTGGTGGGGGGGAACAAAAACAAAACAAAGAAACTGCCATTTTTAGTAGCAGCAAAACTAGAGATTGAACATTTGGAACTTGAAAACCTCATTTTTTTAGGAATTTGTCTATTGGCAGCACAGCTGGGTCTCACAGCTGCCTTCACTGAGGTTCTTGGCTGTTTCTTCTCCCATGTCAGAGGGTAGAATTGAATTACACATGTAACTGAATCCTCCAAAGGATAAACTGAACCAGAAAAAGCCAAAGGAGAGATTCTAGCCCCAGGATTGATATCCCACACAGTGGGACAGGTCAGGGCCTTGCTGGGCTGGGAAGGCAAAGTTGGTATTGTCTCTATGATTGGTTTTAGCTAAAATTGAAGTGGTTTGGGGGGGAAAAAAAAGTTTCTTTGAGTAAACTAAAGGATGGAACCTCAGAAAAATCTGATTTAGTGGCACCTCTGTAAATTCCCTTTTCCAGGAGCTGAACATGGGCCAGCGCTGCTCGGACACGCGCGGGATTGTCTTCGAGGATGTCCGAGTCCCCAAGGAGAACGTGCTGATCGCGGAGGGCGCTGGCTTCAAGATCGCCATGGGCGCCTTTGACAAGACTAGGCCCTCCGTGAGTGCCAGAAATGGGCTGTTTCTAACCTAAGCTGGGGATTTCTGCCGCTTATCCTGCACTGTGCCTGCCCCAGGTGGCAGAGGGGGCCGTGGGGCTGGCGAAACGAGCGCTTGATGAGGCCACGAGGTACGCGCGGGAGAGGAAAACCTTCGGGAAACCCATCGTAGAGGTGGGTCCGAGGGATTGGACGTCAAAAATGGCAAAGTCTAATTCAACATGGAGTTGAGGGATGGATCCCAGTTCTGTAGAACTCCTCAAGCACAACTTCCCAAGCTTATTGAATTTGCAAATTAGGAAATGAAGATATAAAATCAGATTATGGGGAAAAAATTTATTCCCAGAAAGATTTCTCCAGCCCTGGCACAGGGCTGTGGGGGACTCCCCGTCCCTGGAGGGTTTCACCATGTGGATGCAGCACCTGGAGACACAGTTTAGTGGTGAGGGCGAGGGTTGGACTTGGTGATCTTGACACTCTTGTCCAGCCTCAACAATTCCATGACTCCTTGAGTCCCTGAAGAAGGCACATTCCCCTTGAGTGTCACTGCCCTTTGAAGCTCACCCGGTGGGTCTCCCCGCTCCCAGCACCAGGCCATGGCGTTCCTGCTGGCAGAGATGGCCGTGAAGGTGGAGCTGGCCCGGCTGGCGTACCAGCGCGCGGCCTGGGAGGTGGACGCTGGCCCCCACAACACCTTCTACGCCTCCGTCGCCAAGGCCTTTGCCGGGGACATTGCCAACCAGGTGGCCACCGATGCCGTGCAGATCTTTGGGGGGAACGGGTTCAACACGGAATATCCCGTGGAGAAGCTCATGAGGGATGCCAAAATCTACCAGGTGAGTGGGACAGAGCGTGGGGCTTCCACAGCGACACAGGCATTCTATAGAGAATAATTAACAGCTGAGTAATTGCAATCAGGATGGACACGGGATGAAAAGGTTTGGGGGCTGAGAGCAACAATCCTTCCGTTGGCAGAAAGGCCTTAAATTTGAGATCCTCAAATACTCACACACCAGGCAGGTGCTTCAGCTGAGCTCTCATGAGCACTAAGGAACACAGATTAATTAATCAGCATTAATTACCCTGTGTGGGCTGCAGGAACAGCTGTGGGGCTCGGCCTGTGGTGATTCACTTCTTTAGGTATTTATTTATTGGTTTTTTTTCCAAAAGAACAAACACGGTCATATTTCCTCATTTTTGGCCCATGGACACACCTAATCCCCAGCGGTTTTTCTGCAGTATTATTGCCAAGAAATTATTCCAGGCCAGAATTTCTCTCTTGACTCCAGTTCGTTATTCAGCAGGAAAGATTAAATTCCATTTAGCAAACCCAGGGCTCTTCACCTTTTCCCTCTTTCCGACATTACCCATGACTGGATGGAAGAAATGCAAACAGGTCTCAGGGAACAGAGGTCACAGCTGCTGTTGTTACTGTTGTTTCTGGGTAGTTGACATTCCTTTTACAGCTGACTTTAAAATTCCAACTGTTCTCACCAGCTAGGAATTTTTCCCTCCCCAAGGACAGAAAGCAGCTGTTTGCAATCTAAAAATTATCAGTCCGAATTTCAGTCCTGCCAGGGAGGAACTGAATGAGCCGCAGGCCTTTGTCAAGATCAGGCTCTTTTCCTCTTCTGGGATTTTTATTCCCCAGGATCCCAGTTATCCAATTCTCCATCACACCGATCCATCCTCAATGCAGAGCCAGGGAAGCTGGGACCTTGAAATTGTTCCAATTACTCTGATATAGTATGAACTTTGGGGTCTGTTTCCTGCTCCCTCCATCCCTGCAAGAACTCAGGAAAGGCACTGGGCCGTACAATTCCAGCAGCTTCACCTGGAGAAGATTCATGTGGTTTGGGGAAGATTATCTTGATTTTGAGACGGCAGAGAAAGTGAATTTGCAGGAGTGGGAGCAATATGCCAATCCTACTTCTGGTAGAACTGGGAGCTGAAAAACCAAAACCCAAAATTCTGCTGCCCTGGAGCTGCCACAGGCTGTGCCTGGGGGATCCCTGGATCCCTCCTGTGCTGCACACACAGGTGTTTGTGTACCTGGGATCCCTGGATCCCTCCTGCACTGGGCACACACACCTGTACGTGGTTATTGCCTGTTGTGGGTCATGGTCACACTCATTTTTCCTCCTTTTGTCTCTTCCTGCCCCCGGGCTCGGCGCTGAGAGGGTCCCGGGTGGGCAGAGCTCTGGTTGAACGCCCTTCCCAGCACTCGGCTCCCCCAGCCCTGGCTCTCCCTGCAGATCTACGAGGGCACGGCGCAGATCCAGCGGGTGATCATCGCCCGCGAGCACCTGGGCAGGTACGGGGCCTGAGGGACGCGGCGGCTCTGGGTCCTGCCTTCCAGGGAAGGAGATTTTGCTGCATTTCTCCATTAGAAACATCTGGGAAAATCCCTTTTCCTCCAAACTCCTCTTCTTGTGCCTGATCCAGCACAAGCTCTGGAACCCCATCCGTCCCCTCACCCATCCCCCCAGCTGACTGTCTCAAACATCCCTGAATCCCACAGGGATCGGTGTCTCCCTCGCCCACTCTCCTTTTGGCAGCAGAGGAAGAAAAAACCTTCCCTGGCAAACCTTCATGATCAAAAAGTGAACAAAATTTGAATTTTTTTATTTATTTCTGACTTCTTGTTGATTTGTTCCCGTGAAGGCAAAAAATCCAGCACATCCCAGGGGTCGGATTTGGGGGGTTTCCATGTGTGTAACGGCACTGATCGGCTCCCGGTGTTTACTCCTGGAGCTTGGGCAAACGGATCAGTCTCAGGGAACCCAAAGAACTGGCTTTGCCTCCTGAGGAAGGGCCCAGCTGGCTCTGGCACAGGGAACGCAGGGCCCCAGTTCCCCAGATCCATAGGAAGCACTGTGGGTTTGGGGCCTTTCATCAGCCAATTTGAGAGGAAAACAAAAGTGAATCCGTTTCTTGTGCCTTGAGCAGGATGTCCTTGTTACAAGCAGGCGGCAATGATGGTGCCTGACAGGGGCCGCGTGTCCGGGGGCCAAAGGAGCGGGATGGGGCAACGGGAACGTGGATTAACTGATCCCATGGGAAAAGCCTGCAGGAAAGGGGTTCGGTTTGGGCGTCGCAGCGTGGGCTGAGCTGGGGCGACGCCAACACAGGCTGGGGATGGGGCCTGCCCAGCACAGCGGGTTTCCCTGGAAAGGGGCTGTTTGGGAGTCGCTGCTGCATCCCAATAGAAGCTGTCGTGCGGGCGGGACAGGGGCGGCTGTTCCCGCGCTCCTTGCACGCTCCGGTGGGATCCGGTGCAGTGTGCGGGTCCCAGCGTGGGATGCACCCCGGGTGGGGCTGGCGGGTGGGAGTGGACAGGGGATGGATGGGCTGGGGATGGAGGCAGATGGAGGTGGGTGGGATGCGGATGGAGGCAGATGGATGGGGATGGAGGCAGATGGGATGGGGATGGAGGTAGATGGAGGTGGGTGGGATGGGGACTGGGCAGACGGGATGGGGATGGATGCGGATGGAGGTGGAAGGAGGCGGACGGGGATGGAGGTGGATGGGATTTGGGACGGATGGGGATGGATGCGGATGAAGGAAAACGGAGGCGTGTGGATGGGGATGGATGCGGATCGGGGAGGGTGGGATGGGGGTTGGGCGGACTGGATGGGGATGGAGGCCGATGGGGGACGATGGGATGGGGATTGGACGGATTGGAGAGCGGTGGATGAGCACGCAGCCAGACGGGGGAGGATCCCGCCGGCAGCTCCTCCTGCCCCGCCCGCGGTCGGGCGTCACTTCCAGCGGAACGGAGGGTAGGAGCGGCCGCGTGGTGCGGGACGGGGCGGGGGTGCAGAGGTGCCGGCGGGTTTGGGGGTCCCGGGGGGGGCTGCTGGGCGGCTCGCTCCCCGCAGGCGGCGGATGCCGCGGGCACGAAACCCCCCGGCCCTGGAGCTGCCCCACGGGCCGGGGCTGTCGAAGGTGCCGCCCCAAGGCCGCGGGGCCGGAGCCGCTGCCCCGAGCCCGGCGGGCCCAGGACGGAGCGTCCGGGCCGGGCGAGGCGGCCGCGGGAGGATCCTGAGCCCGATGCCGGCCCAGCCGAGCGGCTCCTGCGGGAACAGCCCTGCCGGCTCCGGGAAGCAGCTGCGGGCGGGTTTCTCTTGCCCGCAGCGGCGACGGCTCCAGCCCCGGGCTGTGCTCCGGGGTCCCGGCTGAAGGCGGGAGCGTCCTGCTTTGGGGACAGGGTGTGTGGGCTGGGCCGGGCCGGAGGAGGCACCGCCTGGGCCGGGGATGAGTGCTGGCATGTATTAGCTGAGCTGAGCTGATGTCTCTCACCGCTTTAGCTCTAGAATTACTCTGAGGCCCAGCAAGCTCCAGGTCCCTTGGGAGGTTAGTGCGGAGCTTTTCCAAACTGTGGGATCAAGTTCCCACCGTCCCAAACTGTGACGCAGCGAGAGGAGGAGGGGGGCACAGGTTGTGTTTTGCTCGGTTCCCACCTTGGGCAGGAGCAGTTCTGGGCTCAGTCCTGGCTGTTGTGCCCGGGGGGGGGGGCTCTCCCCTCGCCTGAATTCCATTGTTTGGGGCTTTGTGGCCATGTCCGGGGGGGAATGTTGACTCGGGGTGTCCCTGAGTGCCACGGGCGCTGGCAGAGCTCTGCAGTGCCGCGTGTGCAGCCGGGCTGGTGCAGCTCCGGGCGGGAGTGGGCAGGAGGGAACTGGCACCTCCCATCAGCTTTGCCCTAAACCCAGAATGTTTTCTGTCCCACCCAGGTCTTTGGGACAGCCCAGGGCTGTGCCATTTTGGCTGGCCCAGAGCTGTGCGCCAGCATTTTGGAGAGTCCGCAGCGCTGCAGCTTCCGGTGGGGCACGACAGGTGAGGTTTGGGGTGACCCAGCTGCCAGCAAGGTCCCTCTTCCAGGGCGTTTGGATCTCCAGCCGGGTCTCCAGCCAGCTGGAAAGGTGTGGGTGCGTGTGTGCAGCTCCCTGGCGCTTCTTGGGCACCTGTCAGCTCCCGAGAGACTGATCCGTGGGGTGAGAAAGAAAACAGGCCAGGGGCACTTGTTAGATTGGGTCTTTTTGTGTCTGTAAAATGCAGGTTTGGCAGTTGGTTCCATATTTATAAAGAGGATTTGAACATTTTTTTGTTGTTATCACAGCCTGTGATTTGTTCCATTCCTATCACTCTGCATCCTGGGAGACACACTGCTCATCATCCAGGCCTCAGACGGGGAAAAGCCCCCGAGCCCCAGGTTGCCCCTGGGAGGAGGTGGTGCAGCAGGGTGGGGGTCACAGGGATATTATGGGGCTTTATGCAAGGGGAGGGTGCTGCCCATCCCTCTGCCCGTGGTGCAGGTCCTGTGTCACATGGTGGGTGCTGGTCCCCAGCCCCTCAGTGATGGGTGCCCTGTGTCACACGGGCGGTGCTGGTCACCAGCCCCTTGAGGCACCATCCATGTTTCCCACCTGCCCCTTCCCTACACTCAGAGAACAAACAGGCAGAGAGACCTGAGCAGCTGGGGGAGCTCAGGGGGGGAAACCAAACCCATGTGATGGATGTTCAGTAATCCAAAGGAGGCAGCCTTCCCTCTTCCTACCCTGGAAAGGTCTGGAAGGCCCTGTAATTTGGAAGCTGGCAAAGCCCTTCCCTGTCAGAGGTGACAAGGAGGTCCCACAGCACCGTGTGGAAAGGGGCCCACATTGGAGCAGTTTGTGAATTGTTGCCTGTGGGAGAAGAACTGTCTCCCACGGGAGGGACCCA